ACTTCAAATAAACATATATAATGAAATATATCTTACATGTAATTATCATTTAAACTTATGTCCCTTTTAGTAATTTCCACGTATCAAAAAGCACTTCTGACAACAATTATCCAAACACTCGCACTTTATTAGAATCACTTTTTCAGAAAATCTATTCTTTCAGAATCTATTCTCCAAACCATAGTTTTGCCTAATCCAAACACCCCCTTAGTTTTCAAACATTGCACCCCTAAGGCTAAAGGTTAAATGAGCATGCCCTTACATAGTTTCATTGTGAAAGTAATATTTTTCCTTCTTAGATCCTTAATCTCTAAGCCTCTATTTGCTCTGTCTTGCTTAATTGTATCCAATGAGATTAAATGTATATTTCTGCTGGATTGTTGTTAAATTCCAAAGGAATGTCTCATTCCTTTAGCCCGTTTTGGAATGAGCATCGTTTGCATCAAATGACCGGCATTGCTGAGAGAACTGATTTTATCAAGATGGTTCTACCACCCATGGTTAACAGCATGCTTTTCCACCTAGCTAACTTCTGTTGTGTTCTTAGAATTAGAGGAAGGAAAACCTCTTTGGTCATCTTATGCAGAAGGGGAACTCCAAGATACTTCCCAAGATCAATTGTAATTCCAATTCTTAACTATTGACATAGTTCAGTAGCTCTGTTAAAATTCATATTTCTGGAAAAGAAAGCCTTAGATTTTGCTAAGTTGATTCGAGCCTATCATCACTTCTCTTATTACTTCAATTTGCTCAAAGCCTTAGATTTTGCCAAGTTGATTCGAGCCTATCATCACTTCTCTTATTACTTCAATTTGCTCCGAAGTGGCCTCCCCAAGTAAAACAGATCATCTGCCAAAAAAAAAAAAAAAGAGGATAAGAAATAGAAGGCCCTGATTAGCTGAATTTAATCCCTTTCCATCTGCCAGCTTGAACTTCCTTGCAGAGCTGATGTCCCAGCCTTTCCATACATAAGACAAACAAGTTGCAGCTCAGGTGATCTCCCTTGTCTAAGCCCACGGGATGGGTGAAAGGTGTTTGAACTATCACCATTCCATAAAACTTGTGTAGATGTCGAGGTTATGCATTCCATGATTAGGTTAAAACTTCAAGTAAATCAAACTTTAGCCGATGCCACTTTTGTGTTCATCTCTACTAGCTGACTACATATGTATCACTCCCTTCATCCTGTATAAAAGTTGTCATTATGTTTACAAGCTAACAATAACCACAAGAGTATTATACACACACACAACAAATATAATGATTAAGTTGGTAGCCATTCATACATGAGCTTTGACCTATTTCTCTATGGTTTGGATGAAAGTGAGCAAGAGCAGCAAAGTTGCAGCAATCACAGATGCAATTTTCCAAGGAGTGCTCCAGGCACTTTATAGATGCAACCACTTGATGCTAAGGGAAGCTTTCTAGACTCTGCAATTTTCAACTTGGCTTGGATATCTTTTTATCTGGCTCTAAATAAAATTGCCTCACTAACGAGGATTGGGTTTAGTGCAAGAAATTAGTCCCTTACAATGTGACGAACTAAAGTTCGAATTTTTACTAAGAAAAATACCAACATTTAGTATCCAAAAATATTTCAAATAAGATTATTTGTAATAGGAGGATACCTACCCATAGCCAAAATAAATAAATAAATAAAATTGTCTTTATATAAAAATAAAAATCATTCTATACTACTAAATGAAAGACTTTTGCATCGGTTTTTTAAAACAAGTAATAATTTTCAACATTCTAGATTGGTTAGAAAATATTTTTTAGGTTAGTTCTAACCACAGCTGATTTGGAAAGTGAACCTTTTAGATTGGTTAAAGACAAAAGGATTTTTGTTTTTAAATCCTCGTTCTAAATTCTAATAAGTTGTAGACGGGATAGTGACGTTAAAAACGTAAAAGTTAGATTTCTTCTTCCAAAAAGAAAAACAATAGAAATGTTTTTCTGAATTACCCACATTCCATATAAATACCTCTGTTTTGGGAGAATAACCGACAAGAAAGATGGGAAGAAATTAATTATTTTAAAGGATCATGAATTAAAAAATGACATAAAATTAAAGGCCAACATTTTAAGAGAAGTAAATAGACAAAAATGCCCTTACACAGTTGACACATATTTGGCTACAAATCCCATAACATTAGTTGCAAATCACGGAAGCTCAGTCAAGCAAATCAAAGAAAATCAATAGCAAATGAGTTATAAATTATGAAAAATCTGGAAATACTTGAAAATATTAAAATATTAATTGTAAACGGAAAAAAAATGATACCACATTCCATCCTTATCAAAAGGATGAGTACGAATTATGCTCATTGTAGACCATTATATTGATTTTGAATGGATTAGATTTAATATAATTTTTTTTGGCTCAAACAAAATATAAAATTTTTTAGTTTATAAACAATTTTTTCTAAAATAGCACATAGCATCCTCATCTTATTTCCCAAGTACACATAGCACCCTAATCTTTTAAGTGTTGCAATTTTACCTATAATTTTTTTTTAAAATTTGATGCAATCTTACCCTTTCTATTCATTTAAAATTACTCTTTTCTTTTTATTCATCTTAACAGTTGAAATTAATAATTATGGTTTCTTTTATAAATTATTAACAACTTTCATAGCAAGCAACCAAATTATAATAATGTAAAAAAAAAAAGCTAAAAACAATAGGTGAAATTATACCATATTTAGATCATGGATAAAATTGCATACTAAAAAAATTAAGGTGTTGATGCACCTAAAGAAGATCAAGGTGTTGAATGTAATTTCACCCGAAAATTAATATTAAGAATTTCAAATGCAAGCCATCTAGATCAAATTCTGAATATGGTTCACATTTCATCACAGTGATAAATACTGAATACAGAAAAAATTAGTTGTATATGAATTATAAATCGTGAGTCAATCTAGACACTTAAAGAATTTAGCCAATTGATCCTCCAACTTTAAGAATGGATGAATCCTTTGGTTTTTATGATCAAGCTTTTGAGATTTACAAAACTATCACAATGATTTGCAGCCAATCTTCTGCTTTTTATATATATATATATATATATATTTCAAGCAGGACATCCATAATTTACATACAATTTCTACATTTTATAACTTGCTTTTCAACTGACTTCTCAAGATTTGCAGCTAAATCTGCAGCTCATCTTTTATAATTTGCTACTGAGTTAGTTCCATATTAATTGCATAAGGGCATTTTTGTCCATTTGTTTCTTTTTCAAAGCTAGGTTCTTTTAGATAATTTTAAAATTTATATGCTCTTTAAAATAATCAGTCTGCTTACATGGTCCTTATATTTCATTCTCCCCTCTATTTTTTTTCCTATTATTGTATAAATCCTAATAAATTTCATGAGTTCAAAAATATTTACAACATTCAGAATCTAATGAATTTCATGATAAAAAAGAAGTTCAATTAATAAATCAACAAATAAATTTCTCCCCCTCAATTTGCAATGCAGAAATTAATAATAATAAAAAGAAATAGTTGGATTACATTAACCAGCCCTCCTATTTCTTAAGAAGCAAAAACTGACATTCTCTTTGCTATCCAATTTAACAAAGGAAAATTAGGTTAACACAAAACTCTTATTACTCAAGATGATTGTCATATGTGTGTGAGAGAGAGTGTTAAACATAAATGGATTTTGCAGCATTTCCAAAGATACGCTTGCAGCACCAGAAAGTAAATTAATGACAAAGGACAAAACACGAAAAACAGAAAAATAAAAACCTAGCAGTTAAATATTAACAATATCAACGTCATTATTATCTTTATTTTCATCTTCATCTTCATCAGTATCATCAAGATCAGCAATATTTGATTGTTCTTTACTACAAGTGAACTCTTCTTCAGTGATAAAAATATTAAGGTTTTTGTTTTCATTTACCTTATCTAAAAGAAAACTATGCAGTAATTATAAGTACAAATAAGAACCTGAACATTTGTTCGAATAAGAAAAGTTTTGCACTTTGTTAAAATATGTAAACAGATGGTAAATGGAGATCTACTAGCTATTATGGTGATTAAAATGTTAAGAATATCAGCTACCATTCTTGAAATAATTGAAAATTGATTTTAATTGTTCTTCCACAAGTCCAAGACATCTAATTCTTTTCAATTATCTAGCTTGAGTATTGATTCTTCTAAGTATTTTTCTAATTTAACCTTATTCATAAAAGACTAATCTATAACTTTATAAATATATATAAAAAATAAGCAGGCTTAAAAGGGCTAGCCCTTGGCCCTAAAGGGTTGGCCCTTCTATTTTTGAGTCCTATAAGGTTAGTCTTTTTAAGTCTAATTTCTTTTTAAACCACCTAAAATACAAGCCCGGCCCTCAACTTAAAAGGGCTTAAAAGGGCTGGTCTGATGGGCTTTGCCTGTTTTGACAGCTCTATCCTTAGTATAAGACTTAATTGTTGAGTTGATCTTGTTTCTAAACATAAGATATATTTTTCATATTTACGAGCTTTTTCTAAATTATCCCTATTGACACTCTATCAATCATAATCAAACAGGAGAGGGAGGAAGAATATTAAGAAAGATAATTATAGTGTTTTAAAAAAACATATCATATTTTTATGATTAACTTTCCAAACTTTCTTAATCTGATCAAAATAGATTTTATATTAAGGATTGAAAAAGTAACGTGTAAATGTAACAAAAGCAAATCAAACAGTAATATTTGAGAACTAATTTGCAAAAACCTCAGCATTCAATGAGATGTAAGAGGTACTAGGTCATTGACATGGTTCAAGACCTCAAAAAAATTTACAGATTTTAAACAAAAATGGATTTTGCAGCATTTCCAAGTTGTGCTAAACCAAGAATGGAGTGCTGGCATAAAATTACCGTTGAATTAAGTGCTTAATTCTAACAAAAGACATGATATCTCTAAAAAGACATGGCGTTTCTAAAATGCCCTTGTTTAACATTAGATTGTATATTATTACCTCCAGTTCGTCATATTAAGAAAATTATATAAGATAGTTATTTGTAACAAATATATGTTAGTTTTTTTTAAACTATCATCTTTAATTATATGCATGGAAATAAATTTTTAGTAAAAACCTCTAAGCATGCACAAATAAATAGATATTTTGGAGGAAAAATTATAAACTTAGAGATAAAATCCAAATCCAAACTTTCAAGTAATCTTAAATTAAGGATGAGAGGTGGTAGTTAAGTTGCTGAACATTTTCAATTGAGCAGAGAAAATCTTACCAATTGTGATGCCTTCGACATGATATTAACACATGTTGAAAGAAGAATCAAAATCAATGATCAAAATATATATCTTCCAAGGCTTTCCCTGCTTGCACCTCTCAGCAAGTTTCTGTTCGTGTTGATAAGTCTGAGCTTCCCTGAGCATGTGTCAGCAGTTTAAGAATTACATATGGTGGATGGATGTCATGATAGCCAGGTTTCTGACGTGAAAGATCTAAATCAATAAAATATTTACCCCTTACATAAATTACAAGCGCTATTTTAAGTGTACGATGAACACCTATCGAAAAAGTAGTCATATTTATGTGCAAGCAAGTGAAGCTTGTTTGGAAAACCATCATAGGTTAGGTGTAACCAGTTTTGGTGTTCATCTATTTGATGAGCACTAGAAGCTAATCAGATCTGAACCATCTATATCTTATTTGGATGGTTTAGATTTGATTTTTTTTTATTTATTTAAAATAATTATTTTAAAATGTATAGAATCTAAAATAGTGATGATCTCTTAACTATCATTCTTTCAAAAAATAGTTTTTTCTATTTAAAAATAATTAATTAAAAATTTTAAATCTGGATTGTTAAAATGAGATATAGACAGTTCAGATCTAATGATACTCATCAAAGAGATGAGCACCGAAACTGGTTACTAGGTTAACGTGCTTTCAATGCACAAAATCACTTAACAACTACCCATCAGTAAGCAACATTTCTGAACAATTACTTTCCGATCAGAGTACACTTTCAATTGTCCCCTCCATTTAATATTCCACGCCGAAGATAAGTCATCTCAAATTGATTTAAACTAATCTCATAGGAAGCTATTTCCTGAAAAATCCAATTCACTCTCCGCAAGAAAAGAAGAAACTAAAATCTAACCTTGCTCTTTCTGTTCTTCTGAGACCAGACCTGCACCTGTCGAGGTCACAGACCTAGCTGCTTCGCCAGTGCCAACTTTTGCTCCTGCAACACAAGATCTCTACGATTAGAGTAACTTTAAGTTATCGTACATAACAATTTGGATCCCGACATGTTTGGTTGGTGAGAAAATCAAGAAATACTTTCTCATGGACACCAACGGAACAATGAGGCGATCCAGATCTGGAAGCAGATAGGATAAACAGTTTATTACTTACGGGATGCTCCCCAAGAATAGCAGACTGATCTTTGGAGTTTAGCTTCTTCCTGGAAGTTTGCTTTTCTTCTTCGCTGATTCCTTGAGAAAGCTCCGTCCAGGTCGCATGTTCTTCTAAATACGACACCGTATGACAGGCGGGCGAAACGGCGGGCGGACGGACGGACCAGCTAATGTGCTTGTCCGCCAACAGGTTCAGTATCCCGTGTTGTTTTTGAAAAATGTTTAATAGAATAACAGGGGAAATTGCAAAAAATAGACTCTGAAATTTAAAAAATATAAATAAAAACACATAACAACTTTATGAGTTTTGACAAAGCCATAATGAAGTTGCTATGGATTTCTATGCGTATTTTTCAAATTTCAAGTATTTAATTGTGAATTTTCCAAAATAATACCAACTAAAAATAAAGGGAAAATTGCAAATAAATACCCCAAAATATGTAAAATTACGATTTGAGACTCTTAATTGGGAAAAGAACAAGGACCTAGTCTCATTTTTACAAATATAAAATCGTGGTGAAATATCCGAAATGTCCCTTAGCCAAATGACAAATTGACTATGAGAAATGACAAGTTCACTTCAACTAATATCAATTTCAGTAGACCAAATCACAATTTGGCTAACAGTATGCTAAATGATGAGTTGACTGTGAGAAATGACAAGTTCACTTTAACAAATGATAATTTCAGTAGATTAAATCACAATTTGGCCAAGGAGCATTTTAGATATTTTACCCATATTTCATATTTACAAAAATAGAACCGGGTCCTTATTTGCTATTTTTTAAATTTAGAGTCTCAGATCATAATTTTACATATTTGGGGGTCTTTATTTGCATTTTTTTTAAAAAACAATTACCAAATAACTAGCATGCCGTGTTGCTTTTAAAAAATGTTCAAGAAAATATTTTGAAAATATATTATCTTTATAAATTTTTATAGAAATAATTACAAGATTTACTTTTGTTTAATAGAGTCCTTTAAGGTTAGTTTTAGGGAAAAAGATAAATAAAATAACCTGAAAAATGTTAAATGACAAATCAGATTATAAAAATGTGTTGTCATTTTTCTTTTAAGTATAATCAATTGTTATCAAAATATAGTAAGCAAGACTTATTTAAAAGGGAAAATGACAAATAAAGACTCCTGAATTATCAAAATTACATATAGGTCACTTGAATAAGCAAAATTATCATAAAGGACCCAATCCCATATTGTAAATATGAAATCTTGACGAAATATCTGAAATGCCCCTAAGTCAAGTTGTGATTTGGTCTGCTAAAATCTTTATTTGCTAAAGTAAAATTGTTATTTCCCATAGTCAACTTATGATTTGGCATATCTTTAACCAAATTGTGATTTGATATACTGAAATTGTCATTCATTAAAGTGAACTTGTCATTTCTTGTAGTCAACTTGTTAATTGACTGAGGGGTATTTCAGACATTTCACCAAAATTTTATATTTATAATATGAAACTGGGTCGTTTATGGTAATTTTACTTATTCATGTGACCTTTGTATAATTTTGGTAATTCAGGGGTCTTTATTTATGATTTTCCCTATTTAAAGTTTTGAAATCCCAAAAACAGTTTTTTGGGGATTTTCCCTTAGTTTTATCTCAATCACGGTTCTAGAAAATTTTCGAAGTTTCATTTTCTCTTTATCTAATATAGATACAAGAATTTGATCTTAAGAAACATTCCAAATATGAATTTGGAGAAAGCTGATTCTATAAAAATTGAGTTGCTTGGGTTAAAATTTAGAATTGTCTTGCAAATAAGTCAAAATTATAATAACTAAAATATTAATTTTTTTTCACAAAAATACTCCTTCTATCCTAAACATAAAACCCATTTTTTAGTGTAAATTACACTACAAAATACTTAGAAATAGAAGACTGACATCTTATACCAAAAGCTGTTAATTGTAATAAAACCTTTGTCAATGAAGTTATTGACAAAAGAATAAGTTAATCGTTTTACTCATGTAAATTATCATTAAATTTCATATAAAGTTGTTAATTTGCTATAACATCAGTCTTATATATAAGAAATGTACAATTTTAATTTTTCATGGACATACAATGCCATAAAAAATTTTATTACAAAAGTACACATGTAATTTTCAAAATGACGCAAAAATATCCTGGCCATTAGGTCAACCAGTACTGATCATTTAGTAAACATGGTAGTAAAGAAAATAATACAAAATATATATTTACTTTTCAAAACTATACAAAAATTTCATGATTGTTAAGTCAACAATGTTGACTATTTCATACGCAGCCCCCACACACATATTGCATGACATTTTTACTCCCAGTTGCCCTGTTTATCACTGTGGGGAGATTCTCTACAAAATGCAATGATTGCACCTCCTTGGTGCTGGACCTATTTCACCCACCATCTTTTTATTTGCCTTATTATTTGTCCGTGGTTTTGCCTTGGAGCTAACAAGTTGCAGATTAGGGTCATTGTTGTTATAAATTAGTTAGATATTGGAAGGAGATGAAAAAGGTGGATGACAAAGAGGAGGTTGAGGATGAATAGTCTCACTAAAAAAAACCTATATTTGCGGTGGTTAATTTGTAGTGGTTACTAAAAACCAATACGAAATATGAAATTTGTAGCTGTTTTCAGCTAAATCATGATAAATTTGCATCAGTTCAACCAAAAAGAAGTTTGTGTCATGCTTAATAGCAATTTGGCACTTAAGGAACCGTTACAACTTTGGCACTAAGGTGGCACCATATGGCGTGCACTTGGCACCACGTTTGTAACGATTAGTTAGTAGCATTTCTGTGGATTAAATTGCTACAAAGTTGATGTCATCTTTGTAGGAGTTATTTGCTGAAAACCACCATAGAAGTTCAATCGTCCATAAATGGTTCTAAGTAAACCGCTATAATTGTGGAGCTTTCTGTGTAATTTTATAGCGATTGTGTTGTAAACCACTACAAAGTTTTGTGTTATTCGATGTATATCAGCATTCCTTACTAAAATATCAATAAAAATTTATTGTTATTTGCAAATTTAGTGTTGTTACCAAACTTAATTTGGAATTTAGTAATTCTTAACTTTTTTTTTTGTCATTCTCCCTAAAGAAAAAGTATCGGAAGAATTATAATCAGGTTCCAAGAAATATATTTAATTATTCTAAAGTTGATAACTGAAAAGCATGCAATGATAAGTTTTATAATAAAAAATAACAATAGGTTCAGGCTCATTATTTGTTATTGATATTTCTTGATAATTAAATTTTTTTATTAGAATCTTATAGTGATTTTTCCAAAAGTATTTGAGCAACTTGCGTGGCACGTATTGCTTATGTCATGCATCAGTTGGTCCTGTGATAGGCATCCTTGCGGATGCTCAGCAGCCAATTCCAAGTTTCCCCATTTCACGTGACAATAATGAGATATATGTTTGTGCGTGTTTTTTATTTGAATTGCAGACTTCTGCTTCCCAAGCTACACCAATTCTTGATGTCCCATGACAATATTGAGATGGGCTAACCGTCGGCCTGGTTGCAAAGCCCAATATTATGGTAAAATATTTAATCAAGACTCGAGAGTCATACAAACTTTTTTACCATAAAAATTTAATCAAGACTTGAGAGTCATACAAAAGCATATATAACTAACAGGAGTTATGTCTAACAGAAAGAATTAGTCTCTCGTAACGTGACGATCTAAGGTTCGAGTCCTCATTAGGAGAGGTGCTCATATTTAGTGTCCAACAGTGTCTCGAATAGGATTGTTTCCAATAGGAGCAGGAAAAAAAAAAGCATATATATGACTTAGCAACTTTTTTTCTGCGCACAAAGGTTGCCATATATGCATACTCACCCCCGCATAATTGTGATATGGGTTATTTTCATAAAACCTGTTCAGATTTTCAAGCAGAGAGATCTGATTTGAATCAGGTAAAAAGAAAAAAAAGAAAAAGATATAGTTTGTATAGATAGTCATTTCAATAAATTTATTGAAACTATCTCTGCGATTCCCTTTTCACAAGAATTTGGGCATCTTTTCCATTGTTGAAAAGATGATTCAAGAGGAACAAAGTTTTACCACCAGTCAATCCAATTGTTGTTGTCTCAAAACTCTCTAAAATTTTCAGCTCAAATATGATTTTATCTTTGTCAACTTGGAATCCTATTCCTATCTCATCGAGTTGACTTTATATGGTGTGTGTAACGCTGCTGTACCAGGGCTGGAATAGAAGAAGAATAACGCTTTTTACCACCCGCGAATGAGAGGAAGAAGAATTTTGAAAAAAAAAAATATTCGTTTCTAAATATAAGACCTATTTTGTAATGTACATTATATTACAAAATAAGTTTTATATTTATTACCAGAGGAGTATTAAAATATCACTAATTTTATGTAGAATTTAATAATCAATAAAAAAAAAAGAAAATTGCATTTGGGAGCTTGAGATATTATAGGGAAAATCAGAGAGCAGGACATTAGAGGCTCTTTGCCTAGAGTTGGGTCTGCCCGAGGACATGCATTGGGGTGGACATGAACCAAATTACCATGTTCAAGAGAAAAAGCTCAAATCTAAGAAACACTTGATTCATTCTGTAGGAACATTTTTCTGGAGTGCGTCCCCGTCTAATGCAAACTTGGACAGAAAACGTGAGGCCAATAATATAGTCTTCAGGGATCTTTTGGGTGGAATTTCTTGGGCCCACCAACAGTGGTTCTACTTACAATAAGGGGCCTTCTAAACAGTCAACAAGGTTACCAATTCATCAAGTCTTCGAATATGATATATATAAAAAAGGTTAAAGTGTAAAGTTGACTTGCAACTTTAAAATCATAGTAATACTAATACCGCTCTTACTATTAAAAATATTAATAGTCTGCTACGACATTAAACTTCTACGGGACAAATTTTAAACTTTGGTCTAAAGGAGCGAACCTCTTTGTAATTTTGGTCCAAGAATATGTTTATTTTCATCATTACTATAAATAGTAGCGGAATATATGTATGTGTATTTCAGGCAAATATATCTGTGGGTGTGCATGATTTGGTCCTTATATAAGGTGCATAACTTATCTAGTTCTTTCCCCTATTAATTTGTATCTCATTGGGCA